CATCGTGTACACGCCGGGTTACACACCGGTCAAATTGTCTTATACAAACAATTTGATCGGTTACACAGAAAATTTGATAAGCGAGAAAATTGTTTTTCACATACATTCCGAGAAGACACCTGGATCACACAATTCTTGGCTAAGTATCATCCATTTGGTTCAGATATTATGTCTTCTACTCGAGCAGTCAAGCTAGGCAATAGGCATTCACCTCTATTTGCTAAAAATGTTTTATTTATGGGCAGCTATGGTATTTCATATTCTAAATTTTATTACTCCCTCCATCCCAATTTGTAAGTGACATTAAGATTTACGATGCTTGACTAACGATAAAACAAATTTATCCCTGTCAACACTCAAATTAGTTCTTGTGAACAAGTATTATTATATTTCATATACTTGATGATAAAATACTATACAAGAAGCTATATTTATAGCTATATTTAGAGTACTAGGGTTTCCTATACAAATGGGCTAAGCCCAATACTACTAGGGTTTCCACACTCCCCCTCAAGCTGGAGCATATAGATCATATGTACCAAGCTTGTTACAAATATATTCCACTCTAGGACCTCTAAGAGACTTAGTTAAAATATCTGCTAGTTGTTCAGTTGTCTTCACATATTTTGTGATGATATGTCCACTCGTGATCTTCTCTCGGATAAAATGACAATCAACTTCAATGTGTTTTGTCCTCTCATGATATACCGGATTTGATGCGATGTGCATTGCAGCTTGATTATCACACATGAGTTGAACCGGTTTTGTGTTCCCATATTTTAACTCTTGGAGAAGATGCTTCAACCATAAGATTTCACATGTAGCAAGGGCCATTGCACGATATTCTGCTTCAGCACTAGATCTGGCAACCACATCTTGTTTCTTACTTTTCCATGAAATTAAGTTTCCACCAATCAAGATGCAATATCCCGAAGTGGAACGTCTATCCATAGGACATCCGGCCCAGTCTGCATCACAATATCCCACAATATCATGGTGGCCTCGATCTTCAAACAACAACCCTTGCCCTGGAGTTTTCTTGATGTATCTTAAAACTCGGATAGCTGCATCCCAGTGTCCAGTACATGGCTTATCAAGAAACTGACTAAGAACACTTACCGCAAATGAAAGATCTGGTCTTGTGATGGTAAGATAATTCAATCTGCCGATGAGTCTTCTATATTTTTCCTTGTTGGGCAAAAGATCTCCCTGTTCTGATAATAGTTTAACGTTCGGATCCATTGGTGTATCCACCGGCCTGCAATCTAGCAATCCTGTTTCCTCAAGAATATCCAAGGCATACTTTCTTTGTGAGAGAGCAATTCCATCTTGAGACTGTGCAACCTCAATGCCAAGGAAGTATCTCAACTTTCCTAAGTCTTTTGTTTGAAATTTGCTAAAGAGATGTTGCTTGAGGAGCGCAATTCCTTGATCATCGCTACCTGTAATGACAATGTCATCAACATACACAACAAGATAAATACATTTGTTGCCAGCAGAATGTCTGTAGAATATAGAGTGATCGACATCACTGCGAATCATGCCAAAGCTGCAGACAACGTCACTAAACCTCCCAAACCATGCACGTGGAGATTGCTTCAAGCCATATAATGAACGACGTAATCTGCACACCATACCAGACTCCCCCTGAGCAACAAATCCAGGTGGTTGCTCCATATAAACTTCCTCGTGCAGATCTCCGTGAAGGAATGCGTTTTTAATATCCAATTGGAACAATGGCCAGCGGCTCATTGCTGCCATGGATAAAACCAAACGAACTGATGCAATCTTTGCTACAGGAGAAAAAGTGTCAGTGTAATCCAAACCATATATTTGAGTATACCCTTTTGCCACAAGGCGTGCTTTAAAACGATCAATCTTCCCATCAGGCCCAACTTTAACTGTGTAAATCCACCGACATCCCACCACTGATTTTCCAGTGGGAAGGGGGACTAAGTCCCACGTCCCACTAGAATGAAGAGCCTCCATCTCAGCCAACATGGCTTTACGCCACTCTGGGTGTGCCAGTGCCTCATGTGTGGTTTTAGGAATGCATATATGAGACAGGTGGGAAATGAAAGCATAGTAAGGGGTAGAGAGACGGTGATAACTCAAAAAGTTATAAATGGGATGTGGATTCAATGTGGAACGCGTACCTTTTCGCAGGGCAATGGGCAAATCATCCTGAGTGGTTTCAAGTGCTGGAGTAGGTGATGGTGGTGATGCAGGATCCGTCATAGGGGAATCAATGGGCGTGGCCACGATGGGCTCAATGGAAGGAGGTCGAGGACGTCGATGGTATACCTGTAATGGACGGTCTGACATAGGAGGGAAGTTTGGGTGCTCATCAGATGGAGGGTTAATGGGAGCCTCCTGATGGATGGGCCGGAGATATGAGGTGAAGTCCAAATATGACGGGGTATCAACTGAAGATAATGGATAGTAAAAGGACGACTCAATGAAAGTGACATCAGCTGAAATAAAATGTTTCTTAAGTAATGGAGAATAACAGCGATAACCCTTTTGGAGTCGCGAATATCCAAGAAAGATACATTTTATTGACCTAGCCGACATTTTAGGTAATCCAGGTGTCGTATCATGGACAAAACACACACACCCAAACACATGGGGTGGTAATGGAAATAAATCACGAGCAGGAAACAAAATAGAATAGGGAATTTCATTATTAAGAACTGAGGAAGGCATTCTATTAATTAAATGACACGCAGTGAGCACAGCATCTGCCCAATACTGAGGCGGTGTATGAGAATGTAATAATAAGGTACGGGCAGTATCAACCAAGTGTCGGTTCTTGCGTTCAGCAACCCCATTTTGTTGAGGCGTGTGAACACAAGATGATTGGTGAAGCATACCCCGTGATGTCATGAATTGATTAAAGGATGCCCCAAAAAATTCTTTAGCATTGTCACTGCGTAAAATTTTGATAGAATGACCGAACTGAGTTTGAATTTCAGCACAAAAAGTTTGAAAAATATGAAACAATTCAGAACGCTCCTTCATTAAGAACAACCACGTGTAACGGGAAAAATCATCCACAAAAATAACAAAGTAACGGAAACCTAAAGTAGAAGTGACCCGATACGGACCCCATACATCTGTATGAACTAAATCAAACGGTGATGTAGCCCGTTTATTTACTCGCCTTGGAAAGGATTTACGAGGTTGTTTTCCAAGGTGACATGACTCACAATCTAAAGATGAAAGATTTGAGAAACCTGGAACCATACGTTGAAACTTGGAGAGGCTAGGATGACCCAGACGATTGTGTAAGGTAAGAGCAGGTTCAACTGAAACACAAGCGATTGGATCAAGAGGATGGAGGTGATACAGACCTTGAGATTCATGTCCGACGCCAATCGTTTTCCCCGTACAACGGTCCTGCACAATCACAGAATCAGCAGAAAATGTTACGGAACAATTAAGAGCACGTGTAATTTTACTGACAGAGACAAGGTTAAAAGGGGTGTTAGGGACATATAAGACGGAGTCTAATGGTAAGGATGAAAATGGAAGTGCTTGCCCAATACCCGAAGCCGAAGTTTGAAGGCCATTAGCAAGAGTAATCAAAGGAAGATGTCGCTGCTTGGTTATATTGGATAAAAGATAGGGATTACCAGAAATATGATCTGAGGCACCTGAGTCAATGATCCATGAGCCTGTTGTGTTTGAAACACAAGCAGTAGACACATCAGGTGTGGATAAAGGCATATTAGTCACCTTAAATTGCTGATATGCTGCATATTCCTCTGGTGATAGAACAATGGGAGATGGTGGGAGCTGAGCAACATGGGCTGAGGGAGGTGGTCTCCCATGTAATTTCCAACACCTGTCTTTAGTATGACCGATTTTATGGCAAAAATCACATTTAGGACGATTCCATCTTGAGTATCCGGTGTTGTTTCCTCTGTCAGAACTCATAAAAGACAATTTTTTTTTTTTTTTTGTACTGTTTTTTTTTCTCTCTCTCTGTTTTTTTTTTCTTTTTGTTTTTTTTTCTTTTTTTTTTTTTTTTTTTGTTTTATAAAAGGAATGAAAAGCTAAAATTAGCAAACAAACGGGAGATAAAAATTAAAACCTGTCGAGGGGATCAACGCTTCAGTAGAACTTCAGCAGTTTGCCAATAATAGAAAAACAAAAGTAATCCAGCTGGAGTGGGTTGACAAAGACCTTCCCTGGACTGCTGGACTGTGTTGACCAAGAGAGCAGACCAGAGAGCAATCCAGAGAGCAGTGAAGCAGCGGAAGAAACTGCCTGGTATTCCGTCAAATAGGTAGAGCACCGGCCAGAGCAGCGGCGAGCGGCCAGAGCAGCGGCGAGCGGCCAGAGAGACGGCGACAACCGATATGAGCGGCGCGTGTGGAAGCGGCGGCGCGTGTGGGAGCGGCGGCGGACCGGACTGACTGGTCTAGGTCGTCAGGGACCTAGGTTTCTGAAAAAACTGTCGGTGTCGCTCCCAGACGACTAAGACGGAGCAGATCTGCAAAGATGTGTACCTGCAGGTGCGGACTTTCAGCGACGGCTGGCGGCGCGTGGGTGAGGCAGCGGCGGCGAAACTTCCGGCGGTAAGTCGCTATGTAGAGCTGAGCACGATGGTAGGCTTGTATCACTACCAAAAGCACTCAAGTGAGTTGCGACCACTATTCACGCCGGAAATTATGGCCTGGATTTCTGTCCGGATTCGGAGCGGCAGTTTATAACACTAACTAGCTAACTATATTTGCCGTATAGGCTCTGATACCATGTGAACAAGTATTATTATATTTCATATACTTGATGATAAAATACTATACAAGAAGCTATATTTATAGCTATATTTAGAGTACTAGGGTTTCCTATACAAATGGGCTAAGCCCAATACTACTAGGGTTTCCACAGTTCTAAAAAATAAAATTTACATATTCAGAAACTACATTAAAACTGCTACAAAACCTGCAAAAAATAAATCAAATTTCATAAACCTTTAATATATAAAATAAAAGATAAAAAGTGATTTATGTTGACCAAGTGAATAGTTAATGTATCTTACAATTTAGGATTGAGGGAGTATAATAAAATGGCAAGTGTTTTTCATCAATTACCAAACTAATTTTGGTGGTTTGTCTATTGAGTTAAAACACACTCAAGATACAAGCCCACAAGCAATCAGCAAAAAGCAGTGGAAAAAATAAACATGAATTCTTTGAGGGGGAAATTCGTTCAATACACAAAATCCAAGTGAGGAAATGCATATGTAATAAACTAAATGAAAATGAAAGGACAAAAATGAGTCATAAGTTGCAATATAACTAGAAGTGGGCCAAAAAAGACCGAACACATCTTCTGCAACACCTCTTCAAACCATAATGCCACTGCAGTGCAGCTTTAATAACTCAATATGTGAACCACAACAGTCTATACTTTATAGCCTGCTTGATGGTACGTCGAAAGAAACCCAACACGCTCTCACTGGACGGCAGTTTGTCTTTCACTTGCATCATCATGTTCAACCTAAAAGGGAAAAAGGAAGAACAGCAGATAAGAGGACTGCACTTCACAACAAAACAGGGTCACATCAATATTTGTCTTACCTCAACGAGCACTTTGGGTTTCTTCTTAGAATATGCACTTAGGTCGTCTCTCTTATGCTTTTTTGAACCCAATCCAGGCTTCTTAATCCTTTCATGAAATGCAACAGCCTCCTCTTCATCATCGTCCAATCCAGCTACCAAATCAACCACATGCAAGCTTAATTAGAATATGCACACTATTACACACGAGCATTGTTACAAAAAAAGAGCCCTAGCGCGCAGGAAGGGGTCCAGCACCTAATCAGGGATTAATCAGAGTTAAGGAGATCCAAGTGTGATCAGAAAAGAACTAAATGGGAAAAAACTAAGCTTCGACTAAGAGACATGTACCTTGGCAGATATTAATAGAGTTGAGGCAGAGGTTTGTATAACAATGAGTTTAGGCTATAGGAGCTAAAATCTAGCATGCAAACACTTAAAAGTTTCATCTGGTAAATAACTCGATTTTTGTTCAAACAGGAATTGTTGCATTTTCATCTATGTCCACACAAGAAGATGGCATAATTGTATGGGCAAAGCATTCTTCAGGCAAAATAACATCACTACACATTCGATTGTTCTACCTTCATCAACTCCTGCATGCGCATCTTCAATTGTTCTGCCACCAAAGTCTTCAATATCATCCACCTCTTCTAGGTCTTCATAACCTTCAACATACTCTACCTCATACTCCTGATTAAACAAATTGTTCCCAAAAAAGAGAACATGACAAATCAAATAGTGTAATGCGACACTATATAAGCTCTTCTTTTGAGGGGCAGTTCAGGGTGGGACAGGAAGGTGAAAATTGAATCATGATAGGCGAAATGAATGATTGATATGTTTAGATGTGTACGCGGGTTAGAATGACCTTTTCGTCCTCTTTTTCGGCAATACTTTCTCTATCTAGAATTTCATTGTACTTGGCAACCGGGATAATGTTGACTATGTCGCCAGAATAAACTCCTCTATTTAAACGTTCAAGCAATTCCTTTTCTATGCTCTGCAGAACAGTTAATGGCATTAGCAAAGGAATAAACTGGAGGCAATTAAAAAAAAACTAGAAAAGTGAAACCTTTTCCAGCAAAGCTGCTTTTTCAGCCTTTTGTTCCCTACGAGCTTCTCTTTTCATCTCTTTTCTAGGTGTGGTCATTATCTTCTCTCTAGTGACAAAAAGCCAAGTAAACGCATGTCAGTGATAGTACTGTCCCATTATGAAAAAAAACTAGACCCTCTTGCTAGAAAAGGAATTCTAATACAGTATAATTTTAACACAGAGGAAAGCTTTTATTGATGGAAAAAAGGAAACGAAATACACAAGAACAAATGGGAGCTACAGAATTACAGATACCTTCCAGCAAAGATAAAATGCCCCGTAGAACAATTCCACACAATATCCATACTATTTGTAATCAAAATTGCATTCCATCTTTCCTCTAAGCAGGATTTTATCGTCTTAAAACTCAAAATAAAGAAGGTAAGTAATAAACTAAACATCAATCAAGTATTACTAGAGCTTGGATGTTGTTGTTGCTGTACTATGACATAGAATCATAATCAGTGATAACTTTCCTTCATTTCTACATCATGTGAATCAGTAACCCATCATGAAGCAGAATGTTCTGCGGTTGAACGCCACTGATAAATTTTCTTGTCAATCACAAATACACATCGAGAAGATTTTTATTGAAGAAAAATAGCACAGCCGAGATGAAAGAAGAACAGTGTTACACACAACTCCGTTTTCTAGTTCTTGTTCATTTCTCTTGTGATTAAAATGACTTCACTTAGAGAAAATGGTATATGCATCCCATGGGTAAACATAAAAAAATCATAAATACCAAATGTGGTATAGGAACAAACACTTCTATGAACAACTCTATAGGAAAATGATAAAAAATCAAGACAATTATAAATGAAGCCCAGTATTACTACTAGATACTGAAGTATCCTGACCACTAACAAAAATAGAAAACACCAACAATGAAACATAGAAGGGAAAACAAACGAAAACATTTAAGAAGTAAAGCATTCAGAAACCTAACTTTTAGTAACAACTTAAAGAATCATGCAGAAATGAATCCTACAGATGAAAACATATTACTGGCACATTTACCGAGACATTATGGGCTCCTTACCTTGTTTTTAAAGCAATCTTCCTCATCCGTATCCGCATCTGAGTCATTTTAGTTAGTCTTTGTTTTATCTTGTGAAGAAGAAGTTTTGGCCAATATATCTGTTGAGGAAAGAAAAAATCCGGAAGGGAGATACAAATAAATAGTTAATGTGTTGAACCTAATAACAGCAAATTACATGTCTGATTTCAGTATAAAACCAGCACCCATGATCATAAGTCCAATTACCAAATGCTTATCAATCACTTCAAGGGCCTTCATATAATTCCTGGGCAGCTTGACCCTTTCCCATAATTTGTTTGGCATGTGAGCCCTCTCTATTGTTTTCATGTACAGATAGAACACGCCTGAGAACAAGATAGAGAGAGGGAAAAGCATTGATTGCCAGATTTTGCAACAAAGAATTTATAAAAAAGAAAAACAGAAAAATCCATTCCTCTCTGACAAATAAAAAATCAAATATGATACTCCCTCTGTCCCGCTATGATTGTCCCATTTTACCATTTCGATCTGTCCCACTAAGATTGTTCCATACCTTATTTGGTAAAGTTTGTGTGGTTCTACAGCATTCCTACTTTATTCTTACTTTATCAATTCAATATCAACCACATAAACCCACTTTTATTAATAACCGTGCTACCTTCTCTCGTCGCAAACTTAGGGGGACGGAGGTAGTACTTTTTTGTGCAATAAAGATAAGAAGATCAAATTCCCAATCAGCTGACAGCACAGGGCAGACCAACCCGCTGAAAAAATAAACTTTTCCAAGAAAAGCAAAATATGGAGCACTAAATTAATTTAAATAACAATCGATCCAAGTAACTTGATTCTCCACGACAGTTTAGGCAAGATAGCTGATAAAGAAATATATTGAAGAGGAGGGACCCAGGTTTTCCTTACCATCATGTTCTCTTATTGTGGCATAGCGACTATTGGCTAGAGGACAGGAGGTGCGGTTACATAAACCTGTGACGTTATATGGATTCCGGCAAAGTATTCCTGTCTGTAGCCTAGACAAATTGTTTTGGATGGAGATGCAATTCAGCAATTCAAGGAAAAGATTAGTCAATCTGCTAGAAGGAAAACAAAGAGAGAGAAATAGAAAAAATAAACTAACTTTGCCATGAAGCTGCAGTGTTTGTGTCTGATAACTTGCCATATGACCTCATCGTGCTGCATCCTTCACTAGGAGCTTAACCTGAACGCCAATGCTGCAGAGAAATCGAGATTTGGAGATTATAAATGCGGCTGGTATTAGATATTTCTATATGAAGTGTTGCTGGGAGCTACAGAGCATAAAATTCCTCGATACTCAATATGATTAAGTGATTGTTAACCTTATGGGAGCATAAAAATATGTCAAACGACCTGAAACTCAAACGAAATAAAAAGAGAAAAACACATAAATATTGACTACCATTTCAATGAATATGCAGCTTTTGTGTTTGATAACTTACAATTAATGGAGTGTGACTTTCAAACCATAAACTTTTGATTTAGAGTTTTAAGTTGGCAATTAGGGAAGCTGCAATTGTTTCAGGGTTTTAGGGGTGAGGAGCTGGGATTAGGGCAGTCTTTTTCAGAATACTTCGTATGAACTAAAAAGTACTCCGCATGATCCAAATATATAGATTACTTAAATAGTGTAAAAGATAAAACAGTACTTCATATTATTGTAAAACCAACATGAGAATATACATATAAGAATAACCGGTTACTCTGATATACGTTGATCAAAAGTAAATTAAATTATCATCTGATCAACAAAAAGTTTTTGATGCACGACTCCTTCAGTTAACAGAAAGTGATTGGAAATCCAAATAATTTTAGTGAACTTCAGACTTGTTTGCAGAATTGGTTGTCTTCCTTATATGAAGAACACCGAATTGCTCTACCAGTATCTATCTACAGGGGCGTAGCCAGGGCGGATGTCTACCCTGGGCCGACTTTACACTAAAAACATTATATAAAAATTTTAAAAGTGACAATAATGTTAACATAACAATTAAATTTTAAAAGTTCAATTTCGGTTGATAAGGTCCAAGCATCAAATAAGATTGTCTAATTTTATCTCTATTCTCTAACGGCCAATCACTTATTGTTTTGCGTTTTCCTGGATCCCGCTCAATTTCAAGTGCATTAGAAACCACTTCCTCTTGAGCGGATGAGATATTAGGAGTTTCGATTGAGACATTTAACTGTTGTCTACTCTGAGTGCTTGTGCTAGGCTTATAAAACGAATGCAATGTGGTTTTTGCCTTTTTGGAAGTAGATTGAGTAGCCATACCTACTAAAATTAGCAAAAAAATAAAAAACTAATCAATATTTTCTTTGAATTCATATAATTCATATTAATATTTTAAAAAATTCACAAATCACATTTGACTTCATATAATTCATATTAATATTGTAAGAAATTCACAAATCAAACTAGCAATTCCTAAATCCTAACTTTTCAAAGCACTGAAACAAACTACCAATTCAAAGCACTGAAATTCACCCGTACTTAGTAAGTAATTAACACAATTACACAAAGTAAAATAACAAATAAAATACATAAATTAAACTACAAATGATAAAAACCAAAAAATTAAACAATGAAATTATGAAACCCTTACCTCAACTCCTCGAGAGAACTGGAGTCTGGAGAAGGAGAAGCTCAGAAGCAGGTGACCTGGGCGAGCGGCGGAGGAGAGGAGTCGTCCGCCGTCCGGCGAATATGCGATGCGAGTGGACGGAGACACGCAGTGGGCTGTGCGGGAGTGGTCTGGTTCTGTGCTGCAGTGCTGCGCTCGTAAACGTCCGTCTTTGGTTATACGCAGGCCTGGTTCTGGGCTTCTTATCCTTTTGGCTGCACTGGACGTTTATTTGTACTGGGCCATACACTGTTGGGCCAGTATTTTTTTGTACTGGGCCAAGTCTAATTATTTTTTAAAAAATCAATATATATATATATATATATTAGCGTGCCACATAATCCTGTCATGTCATCATATATAACAATTGTTTAATTACCTTTTATACCTTTTATTTTTTTTATTACATTCTATTTTTTATTGCATATTGATATGGAAACAAAAGACTGTAGGATAGAATCCACCTTATTTGGTAACTTTTTCAAAATCTATTACTTACTCTGTAATAATATGGATAGTTATTCAAATAAGCAATTGCATCCACAACAATAAATAGTCATCCCTATAAATAGACTTTATTTTATTTAATTATTTTTATCACATTCTATTGAGAAGTGAATTATCCGTGTTTTGCCCACCTAACTGATAAATTGTCCAAATTCCTATTAATTTTGTTCTTCAAAGTTATTCTATATAAAAAAAAAGTAGTGTTATATTTCCTAAAATGTAATATTTTATTTTTCTAAACTCATTTTTTTATTGTTTTCTAAACTCAATGCGATAATGACTAAAACTATAAGCCTTAGATTTGCAATTGTGTTAATATTTCGTATTTTTCAGCATCTTCATACCATTCTTTCTTTGTTGTTGAGATAATGATGAAAATTATAACCACAAAATTTTTTAACTAAAAAAGGAAATTGATATATACTATTAGATGTTCATATATGAAAACATTTATATCAAGAATCTTACCTTTATGAGGATGGAAATGGAAATTCATATCATACATATGAATACCTTTACGTATACTACATATACGTACGTATACTACATATACGTAATAGGTAGTATATATTATATTTTACTTTTTCATAATTTGGGAGATTCCATAAATTTAGCCCAATCAATTATATTTAATTCATTAGAGTAGAGTCAGACAATTCAGCCAATTTTAATATTATCAAATGGCTTTATATTAGACTGAGTTTATTTTCCTTTTGCATCACATTAAATTAAATTATATAGGAAAAATTGAAAATAATAATCCCAACTATTGCCGGTCCGCTGATAATAATCCCAACTATTGATTATTTTTGTATAATCCCAACTATATGGACCCTCCGCCAATAATGGTCAATGACCAAATATTACCTCCTACAAAAGTAAATTTTAAATAGAAATTAGGTGTGAAAATTAAAAGTTCGGATTATTTATAGGGATTACTTGCTATATCTCTCCTCATCCACTTTAGAAACTACAAGAATTTATTTATAGGGACCATTATTGGCGGAAGGTCCCTAAAGATGGGATTATTCTGAAATAATCGATAGTTGGGATTATTATAAGCGGACCGCTAATAGTTGGGATTATTACTATCAATTTTTCCAATTATATATGATTCCGAAAATATCAAGTTTACAATGAGCTAAATTGTGTACTGCCCGTGCATCGCACGGGCTTGAATACTAGTTCATATATAATAGGGATAAGGGTCAGATAGGGCCTTGAACTCGAAAAAAATGTCAAATAAGGTCATATTTAGGATGCTCTGTCCGGCCGACGCCATTTGGAGTGGTTCTCGATGGAATTTTTTGATGAAATTTTTTGAGCATCTTCCTCATTAAGTCTAGTTTACTCATACCAAATTTCACCTAAAAATGCAACGGGGAAGGTAGTCAAATGATTTTCCGAAATGTACGGCGTTGTTTAACTTCACAATTATCTTCAAAAAATCATTTGACTACCTTCCCGGTTGAATTTTTAGCTGAAATTTGGTATGGGTAAACTAGACTTAATGAGGAAGATGTTCAAAAAAATTCATCAAAAAATGGCATCTGGAACCGCCCCAAATGGCGTCGACCGGACAGAGCATCCTAAATATGACCTTATTTGACATTTTTTTTCGAGTTCGAGGCCCTATCTGACCCTTATCCCTATATAATACAAAAAAGGAAAAATTCACACTAATAATCCCACCTATTGATGGTCTTCTATTATTAATCCCTCCTACTGATTATTCTGAAATAATACGAACTAAGGGGTTAATCTTCCCCCTTTAGTCTAAAGGTACTGGCAACCGGGTATGCCAGTAATTATTTTAAATTCGTTTAACTAACCACTGTAGCAGCTCCTTAAACAGACGTAGCTCCCATGTACGCAAGCTCCCAGAAGTTTGGCTCATCGTTTTGAAGCCCAGCCTCCTCCTGGGCTGGAAAAATTCACACTAATAATCCCCTCCCATGTCTTCTCCCTCGGACACGTAAGACGATCAACATCTATTAGCCCGTTTAGCCGATATATGTATACTGCCTTGTGAATTATGTCCATTGAATTATCGGGTTTTAATCTTCGGATAGCTTCATACTCCAATTCATAAATGGAACCAGCCCAATCTGCCTAAGAACACTGAGGTCTGGTTGAAGGTAAACCAGTCAACTACTGCCCTTGATTTTCCCTTCATTTGTGCTTTATCAATGGAAGATCACATATAGTCAAATATGGTAAATTTATAAACTTGAATTGTCATCAAGACGGGGAAGAATAACCAGAGATGAATAAGCCCCTTATTATTGGTGTGATGATAATTACCTCCAATTGAGTTCGAAGAAGATGATCCACTGACGGACCTCATTACAAATGCCGAAGAAGACGACTCACCTCCGATTCAATTTGGCCTCTGTATTTCCCTTCTCAGACCGTGAAATTCAGTTCACCTCCAATTCAGTCCGGCTAAGTCGCGCTCGTTGTCCTCCTTCGTCCTCACGTTTCAGATGTCCTCTGCGTTATCTTCACAGCAGCTCCACATTTGTAAAAGGGAGAGATTAATTACCACGTGCGGTCACATGACTATGAATTACCGGTTAAGACCCGAACTTTAGGTTAATGGAGTAAAGGAGGAAGATTAACCCCTTAGTTCGTATTATTTCAGAATAATCAGTAGGAGGGATTAATAATAGAAGACCATCAATAGGTGGGATTATTAGTGTGAATTTTTCCTACAAAAAATGCCCTGGACCATGGCCCAGCCAGGCCACTCCCTCCGCCCCTGCGTACAAGCAATTAGAGAATGTATATTGAACTTTAATCACAAGATGTAGATAAGGAGTGTGGCCCCAACCCAGATACTTACAAAAAACATATGCATTTGTACATAATAATGTCGTCCCATTTTATTAAGATTCGAACGTGAAACTTATCTCATACGACATTTTATGTCTATTAGTTGGATAAGTCCATCAAAAGAGTACATATCGCACATCTATCTATATAATATAATAAAGCAATCCCTTAGGAAACACCTTTCATAGGAAAGGTTGACACGTGGCAACCTTATAACAAAGTCATCCTTTTATATGCATTGTTTACAATGTGTTTGCAACATTTATATATATACACTTACAAACACAATTGAGTGAAAAAATATTCAGCTTCCAAATTAAAACTCCACCCGCACGTCTTTCGATATAAATAAATGTATATTATTTCTCCTACTACAAACACTCCCCCTTCCCATAAAACTTGGTCAATTTAACTTTTCTTGGTTAATTTAATGATAATGAATTTTGGGTAATAATTTTAGTAATTATATTTTTTAGAATTACTTTTAACATACAACACGTTCATATAATATTTATATTTGTCATAATTTCACACTAACAATATCATCGGTCAACAGGGCTCACCACGCACTGCCCTGACACAATATGTGGTGGTGGACTACGCTTTTCATGGGTCTGATTGGCAAATTATCTAATGGCTAGCCAAAGGTTTTTACAATTCTACCCCTATCCATCCAATATGTGGGTTTCGCGGGCTAGCCCCTAAACAAATGTAAGAAACATACAATAACATAATATTTTGAAAATAATTAACTTGAAGTATTTGTTCATATACGTAAGTAGTACTACCTCCGTCCCAAAAAGATTGACCAATTTAACTTTTCTTGGTAAATGATGTTAAAGTTTAAATAATGATTTTAGGTATTATATTTATGTGTAATTTTAAAAAATTATACTTTTATGAAAGTTTTTTTTAATAAAGTATAAGTTCATATAATTTTCATATTTCAAATAATTTTTACAGAGTATTAAAAGATATCATTGGTCAAAGTTGATCATCGTTGATCAAGAAAAGTCAATTTGAACAATCTTTTTGAGACGGAGGTAGTAATAAAAAGAAATATAAGAAACCAAAATACCAAGAACGCCATACTTGATAAGTTAAATTAAAAATATTATTAAATCATTATTATATAAAAATTTGATAATTATAAGTTGATATCCAAAAAAAGAACTCCATCCGTCCCACTTTAAGGTTCCCACACGATTTACGATGTTTGACTGACCATAAAGTTAACTGATCCCTGTCATTAATAGAATTATTTTTAGTAAATAAAATTTACATATTCAGAAACTACATTAAACCCGCTACAAAACCTACAAAAAATAATTTAAATTTCATAAACTTTAGATATAAAAAGTAAAAGATTAAGAACAATGCACGTTGACCAGAGAATAGTGTACGGGAACCTTTAAATGGGACGGAGGGAGTACTTAATATACAAAAATAAGGATATGCATTGACCTTTTAAGTAGATTTTTGTAAACCATAACTACTAATTTCTAAAAGATTATTGTTAACTATACAATACAAAATATGCTTGAATAAATTATTTGAGACATAATAATTCAGCAATTTTTTAAAAATAATAAGTATGTAATTACAAATGAAATTGATAGTGGAAGATCGATATATTCAACTCAATGATAGTCCACATTAGAAGTGTTTATATTCACCAACCTCCAACATGTGTAGGGTAAATAAATCACAACGCATGACTTAATTAGAAAAAATGGCAATCCTAATACACCGCTAAATGGGTTAGCTTGCGGGTTTTGTCTCATTTCAATATTTAGCTTCATTCACGTCAACACAATAATTCTCCTTTAT